AATAAAAGAGGGAGGGAGGGAATAAAAGAGGGAGGGAGGGAGGAAAAAAGGAGGAAAGGAAGGAAAACAGGGAAGGAGGGAGAAAGGAAGGAAAAGATGAAGGAGGGAAGGAAAAGAGGAGGGAAGGAAGGAAAATGAGGAAGGAGAGAGAAATGAGGGAGAGAGCGAAGGAGAAGATTAGAATCATTTTCCTTGATTCCTCTTACAAAGCCGTCACTCTTTAAAGTAGAAACTTAAAGACATTTCGCGTATGGTGACTGCAATTTGGTTCCCGGCCCCCCAAATAAAGTCCATTATCAATGAAAACTGCCTAGGCGAGATGCTACTTTCAATGCTCTGCAGGCGTCTACATTCTGTTTGGGTGTCCTCAAGAAGAGCTAACGAATGACACCCACCCACCCACCCAAAACCCCCTCCCCACCGAGATTTTCATACCGTCCACCTGGCTTCCAAGCTGCCCCTTCGTTACCCTGGTAGCCACAAGCGATCGTCAAATATTCTAATGGGAAAGCGTGGGCAGTTTATGTCCGTGGCCTGAATTTCAACCTGGTTTTTTTACCTCGGGAAGGAAATGCAGCAAAGCCTGAAGTGGAATCCAGTCTCCCCTGCTCAGTGCCTGGGTTAAAATAGCTGCAACCAGAACCTGTTCAACCAGATCCTGGGTTCAAATGTAATATATTAATGTATCGATGCGATTACAGGATGCGGCTGAGCCAAAAAGCTACCAAAGGTTATTGCTACCTCAAAAAAATGCCAGCCCAAAAAAGAAAACTCTTCCAGAAACTAGGATTGCCTTGAGAAGCAGACTAACATGAAATATTTGCAACATTTAATTCACATTAACCAACGCAGGGCAGTAGTCCTTATGAGGACGGTTGAACAGTTCAACGTTACCACTGTGCTGAAAAAAAGTGGTTTCCAATCAGGTCTCACTTATGATTAACAAAGTGGGCAGAGACCTTGTAGGTCATCTAGTCCAACCCCTTCACCCAAGCAGGAGACCCTACACCATTTCTGACAATTGGCAGCCCAGTCTCTTCTTGAAGGTCTCAAGTGATGGAGCAACCACAACTTCTTGTGGCAAGCTGTTCCATGGGTTGATTGTTCTCACTGTCAGGAAATTGACAGGGGGGAAGGGAGGGATGTATATTAGGCTTGACGAGGGGTGTTAGGTTTTAAAGTAATACGATTGCACATGTATACTGTCCTCTCT